ATGGAATAGAAAAGGCTGATTATTAATTATTTATTTATTCTAAACTATAAACAGGGAAAGAGAGGGAAGGAGAGGGAAAGAGCGGGGCTGGAGCTACCAGCCGGGCTCATGCCAGCCGAGCGCACACACTGATCCTCTAATCGGCCGCACCCAGCGTCTGGTGGGCTGGATGATTCCCGACAAGCACTTCGCAGATATGGAAGACACAGAATCAGTGTTTTAAGTTATATTTGACAGTGATCACCTCATTTTAAATTGCCACTTCGACCAAGTATCTTCCCTTGTGATTAGGTTTTTGTTTGTAGCTTAAAGAAAATTCAATCACAAGCTTTTGTACTGCTCATATGCTAACATTTAGTTGAGAATGCTGAAACTCCTTTATTGTTCTCTTAAAAAGTCCAAAATTATGAAAAATAGTTTTTTTGTTGTGTTATTAGCATGTACATACAGTGTTAGTCGAGAAAAGTTGCGCCACCCGAGCGCCTCTCCAGCATTCCATCAGTTGCTGACGCCTAAAACGTGCAAGTCTGCAGTGGCACATTTTCGCGCAAAGTTGGAAATTTTGCGCAGTACTTCTTGGCAACTTTTCAAGTATCTTTGTCAGTCCTGCTTTTTCCCCCTGCTTACAACAGTTCAACACAGTGCTACTATCTTCATGTCAAACACTATGGAAGTGGATAATGCGCCTGTGGCATCTGACGACGTTATAAAAACGTTCGTTGATGAGGTGAGTGAGTTCACAATGATTTTTTAGACACCGAAATTTCCAGCACTTCTTGCTTTTGCACTTAATAAAATGAGCAAAATCACAATTATATCTACTTCCATTCACAGTTTTATTTATCTATGCTTTTCTCGAATACGATGATCGAATTGGCAGGTGGAGCATACTGCGCGTCAAGCTCGCGTTGCTGCTCATAGCCATGTGAAAGGACTTGGACTTGATCCTTCTACTGGAGAAGCACTACCCAATGTTAGTCGTCTCATTTTTCTGCGTTTCCTTAAACATCATTTTGAAGCGGTTTCAGGCTGGAGGTCTCGTGGGTCAATCCCTTGCTCGTACATCTGCTGGAGTCATAGTTGATCTTGTTAAAGCCAAAAATATGGCTGGAAGAGCTGTACTTTTTGCAGGACCTCCAGGAACTGGTAGAGTTTTTTCTTTAGACGTGTGTAAAGCAAAATGCAATTATGTCTTAATTAGGTAAAACAGCCATTGCTTTGGCCATGGCTCAGGAGCTTGGTGATAAAGTTCCTTTCTGTCCCATTGTGGCGTCGGAAGTATATTCTAGCGAAGTAAAGAAGACTGAAGTGCTTATGGAAAACTTCAGAAGAGCGATAGGTGGTTTTTCTTTTCGTGGTTTTTAAGCAACTGACAGCGTCATATCCATGCTTCAGGGTTGCGCGTAAAAGAGAAAAAAGAAGTCTACGAAGGTGAAGTGACTGAGCTCACCCCTGTCGAGACCGCAAATCCTCTTGGCGGATTTGGTTAGTTCGTCTTTGATGCTTAAATCAGTTTGCTAACAAATTAAGTCTGCCATTATTTTCCCCATTTGTTTTTCTGGTAAATGGAATTTTGAAGTTTTATCTTCATATTCTAGGATCACAATTTGATAGAGAGTTTTTTTTTCCAAAAGGATCTCTACTATAGAGCATAAAAGCCTTTTTAAGGAAAAACTATATCGCATGTGGTAGTCTCATTGAAAACTGCTAAAGGAAGCAAACAGTTGAAACTTGATCCCAGTATTTATGACACTATTCTCAAGCAGAGAATCGAGATCGGGGACGTGATTTACATTGAAGCCAACAGTGGCGCAGTAAAGGTGCGGTGTTTGACTAATCACTTTATTTATCTTTAGTATATAGCTATGTTAGAATTTTTCGCGTTATCCTCCATAAATTTGCAGCGGTTGGGACGCTGTGATGTATACGCCTCAGAGTTCGATCTCGAAGCTGATGAGTTTGTTCCTTTGCCGAAAGGTGATGTGCACAAGACCAAGGAGTTAGTACAGGTGGGCTCAAAGTATCATCTCTTTCTGTGATACTGTCAACTCAACAGATAATCTTTTTTCTTCTTACTGTACATTAGCTTTTTCACTTCTGTTATATGGTCATTCGTCATAATGCTGCTTCATTTTATTGAATTTTGAGAAGGGAAAAAGTGATGTGATTTAAATCAATTTGGGCTAACGGGGTCCTTTGCTACAGGTTACGTCCTTCGTATTATTAGTCGATGCAGGAGTTTTGCATACTCATATGGATCCACCGCTTGTGTTTTTGGTTGTACTATTGCGTCCACACATAAGTAATGGATAGGCTTCATATTTGGAATCTCGTCCCGGGATTTC